CGCGTAGATGGACACGCGATCCAGGACTCCAGCAGGGACGAGGATCCGGTCCAAGCGATTGGATTCGACTTGGTCGCCGTGCATGGCGACTCTGGTGGGCAGGTGGGCGGCGTCGAACTGGGTGGCCACGTCGACCAGCGCGGCCAGGTCCAGAAGAGCGGCGAGGGCATCCGATGATGATGATGATGAGGGGCCCCGATCCCTGATGTTAAAATCGCCGATGATCCAGCAGGCTCCCTCCTCCTCCTGTGCCGCTGTCGCCGCCAGGAGCTCCAGTTGCCGGTTTCTTTCCCGGGGTTCATGCGCCAGATGAACGGCGATGGCCGTCATCTCCTCGCCGCGGACATCTATTGTTGCCAAGGCGATGTGGCCCGGCCACAGGATACGCTGTCGTAGCACGGCGACGCCTGGTCCGAAGACGCAGGCGAGTCCGGATCCCGAGATGGCTACGGGATGGGCCAATATAACTGCGCTGTAGCCGAGGCAGAGGTCTTGGCCGCTGCCGAGATGAAAAGCGTTTGTCTCCTGGACAAACGCGATGTCCACGTGATGTTGTCTGAGGAGATGACAAAGGGCAAGGCTCCTCCCCCGAGTGGCGAGCCCTCGCGCGTTGATGCTGGCGAGACGGTAGCTCATTGTTGCCGTCCCTTATGCAGCGCCCCCTTGGTCTTCTGGAGGGTCTTGCGGATGGTGTGGTTGGAGTCTGGGATCGAGGCCTTGATGGTTTCGGCCACCTGGTCGAGGGCGGCGACCTGTGCCTTTGACAGCGAGGGCGCTCGCTTCTCCATTTTTCCTTTAGAGGTGAGTAGCCGCTGTGCGTCCTCGCGGTCTATACCGGGCAGCCCGTCCCAGTCGATGGAGAGGTTGGGGAACTGCTTGAGGTGCTCCTGCAGCTGGACGAATGCTTTTCCCCGGGGAGACGCGGAGGGAGTTGAGGTCAGCTCCTCCTCCGACATCTCAATGTCGAGCGGAAAGGTCTCGGGCTCGGGGGGCCGCGGGGCAGCCAGAGGAGCAGGGAGGGCGACAGGGGCGGGCTGGGCAAGATCCCTCGGTTCGGCAGGATGGTGTGCCGAGGGGGTCACTGGAGCCTCAGTTGAAGACTTCGCCGGTTGGACAGGGGACGCCGATGTTGCGGGCGCAGGTGTCGGCCTCCTTGGCTGCTGAGGAGGAGGAGGAGATGGGGGGGGGGGGGGGGGGGGGCTTGCGTCGGTGGGAGACGCTGCTTGCCTGGGGCTGCTGTTCTGCCTGGCGAGCGATGGGCAGTTTGCTCTGCGGTGGCCCTGCTTTCCGCATTTAGAGCATTTTATGCCAAAGGAGAGGAAGGCGGGCAGGGAATCTCCCTTGGATTGAATGTCCAGGCGGGTGGGCAGCCTGTCTAGCTTGATGCCGTCCTTGAGCAGGATGAAGGCTTCCCGGCGGCCGTCGGTGAATGTGAACTCCCCCATTTTGATCAGGATGGGGGCGATGGAGGTGACCCTCCCGTATGGGCTCAGGGCGTTCACAACGGTGAAGTCGTCCACGAAGCCTGGCAGGTTGGCGACGACGATTCGTTCGGCCCTCTTACGGTAGGGGAAGACCCTAAGGGTCGTTCCCTCGATCTCAAGGTCGCCCTCAGCCAGACGGAGCGCAAGATCTTTGGTCGCCAAGCCCACGAGGAAATGGCCGTTCATTTTGCCGAAATATGTGATGTCATTTGGCCCCCCGACCAGCTTGGATATTGCCTTTAGGTAGGTGTAGTCCGGGAACTCTGGGCATCGCTCCACGAAGATGTAGTTTTCGTGGGTAGATGAGTTCTGCCTCGCCTTGGCCTCGGCGATGTTCTTGCGTGTCGCCTTGATCTCCTGGGGCGGCACTGCTCTCGGCCCTGTTGGCCGCTTCCGCTGCTGGGAGCTGCGCTGCTCTCCAGGCTTGTTGGGCTGCCTGGCAGCGTGCTCAGGTGAAGTTGAGCCGAGGCGCCTCTTCTTGGCCTTCACGACGATGAAGCCCTCGTTGTCGTTCACCTCCGCCATCTCGCTGTCGGCCCAGTTGAGCGAGGCCGGGCTGGCTGAAGTTGCGCTGGTCGTAGCAGCAGTCTTCGGAGCCGTGACGTCACCACGCGCGGCGGCCGGATTTACATGCAAGTCGCCTGTCGGCGAATTTGCATACTTTTGATTTTCTGAAGAAATATCAATTGTTTTCTTCATATTTCCTTCTTTTGGCAATAATTCTTCGCCTGTTTGTAGCAGGATGCTGGGCCTTTCAGGCACTTTTTCAGCACATCCTGGGCTTTCCGCCAATACCACACTTGCCAGATTAAGCGCCTTTTACACGCACTCAAAAGGCGAAAACGGCGGAGCTCGCGAAAGCGTGGCCGCTCGCTCGAGTGTGTGTGTGTGTGTGTGTGTGTGTGAAATCCACCCAAATACTCAGCAAGTTTGCAAAATAAAACGCTTATGCTAGCAAACTGTTTTAACAATAATTTCATATCGAATAATAAAAAATAGTATAATTATTTTCTAGCTTCAAATACAATTTGTATCTATGTAGGGTACCATGTCCAATATATCACTCCCTCAAATTATCTATAGGATTGCTCAGGATCTGGAGTGTGTTGAAAGAACATATAGACATGTCAACAATATTCATATATTGTATATTTCTCATAATAAAAGAATTTGTACATAAGGAATGAAATCTTTTTAGTGTACTTATTTTTAGAATTTTTCCTGAATTCCTTACTTCCATGGAAATCTATTTAGAGAGCTTTGCCTATCAGTGGTGAACCCTTAATAGTGGTATCCTTTTTTTCAAAATATTGTGATATAGACTGCATGAATATAATATTATATATCAGGCTATTCAGCTTTTATACTCGGCACTAGAAAGAGATGAATTAATCTTAGAATTTTTAGGAATTTAAAGAAATTTATAATATTTTTAAAATATTAATATTTCCAGAATTATATTTCTTGTTTTGTACACAGTTCACTTTTCTCGTTAGAATGTTTTTAGAACATTTTTGTCTTTAGAATGTTTAAACTCTTACATTTTTATCTCTTATCTTCCAACAATACTGACAAATGAACTATATTTGTTGTAAATACACCTATCCCCCGATTTACACGGTACTTGTTTTACACGTTTTCGCTTTTACACGGTTTTCTAAATAAGTTTTTTTTTGTTTTTATCGCACTATACTAAATGCTACTGTGATTGAACACATGCACTGTGTACACATCTCACGAGGAATTCAGAGGTTATGCGCTGACTACATATTTTAACCTGTCAATGCATTTTATTTTTATTTCTGTGTACACCTATCCCCCGATTTACACGTTTTTCTCAGGAAGGTATCTACCGTGTAAATCGGGGGATAGGTGTATTTGACGATAATGTTTCCCTTTTTCTTCGTTCTTCTTGTTAATGTATAATTACTATTCTTTAATGACTAAAATTATTGTGTAAATAAGTATATAGATAACAGTTGAAGCATACATGTATGCCAGCGAAATTGTCCCTAGGGGTCATAGTTCTTTAAATTGAAATTAAAAATGAATAATTAATTGAGGTTTTTCTAAAAGTCTATTTTGATTTAGAGTACAGTAGAAATATATAACAAAAATTGAATCGAAAATGTCTCATTTTCAAAATGATAATGTACGAAAAAAAGGAAGACATGGTAGGGGGTATTTATAATCCACTTTAGAAGCTTATTTTTTACGAAATATTTTAATCTTTCCACTCCTTATTTTATATCCTTTATAGTCAGACAGATGATCACAAACGGAGTGATTACGTAGTTATGATGATGGAATAATGCTAATAATTTTCAGTTCCCATTTATCTTCAGGCTAGTGCGCTCCCACTCTGGCCCATGACTGCATGAGGAGCCCGCTGCAACGATGTCGGCTCCACACATTACAAAACATATATATATATATATATATATGTTATATAATATACTATTAAAAATAAAAAAGGCATATCCTGACCAGGAGCACATGTGCTTTTCAGAAGACAGAGCGTCATCTGGGCATCTGGGCCATCTGGCAGAGCTGCCTTCTGAAAAGAACATGTGCTCCTGGTCAGGATATGCCTTTTTTGTAAAACGAAAATTAAAATTATACCGCGAATGTTTCTTTTAAAAATCGAAATTTATTTTCAAAGAGAAATAGCGACATTTCTAACTTTGAGGATGAGGTATGGAAAGGTGAAACATGAAGAGTAATGGAGAACGGAAAAATAAAAAGTGTCCAGGGGCGGGAATCGAACCCACACCCTTCTGCTTACCGGGCAGGTGCCTTGTCCACTCGGCTACCCTGGACGTATTTTTCCGTTCAAAACTTATATTTAAAGTAACATTTAAAATACAATATAACGCGGCTGATGATTGTAAAACGAAAATTAAAATTATACCGCGAATGTTTCTTTTAAAAATCGAAATTTATTTTCAAAGAGAAATAGCGACATTTCTAACTTTGAGGATGAGGTATGGAAAGGTGAAACATGAAGAGTAATGGAGAACGGAAAAATAAAAAGTGTCCAGGGGCGGGAATCGAACCCACACCCTTCTGCTTACCGGGCAGGTGCCTTGTCCACTCGGTTACCCTGGACGTATTTTTCCGTTCAAAACTTATATTTAAAGTAACATTTAAAATACAATAAATCATCAGCCGCGTTATATTGTATTTTAAATGTTACTTTAAATATAAGTTTTGAACGGAAAAATACGTCCAGGGTAGCCGAGTGGACAAGGCACCTGCCCGGTAAGCAGAAGTGTGTGGGTTCGATTCCCGCCCCTGGACACTTTTTATTTTTCCGTTCTCCATTACTCTTCATGTTTCACCTTTCCATACCTCATCCTCAAAGTTAGAAATGTCGCTATTTCTCTTTGAAAATAAATTTCGATTTTTAAAAGAAACATTCACGGTATAATTTTAATTTTCGTTTTACAATCATCAGCCGCGTTATATTGTATTTTAAATGTTACTTTAAATATAAGTTTTGAACGGAAAAATACGTCCAGGGTAGCCGAGTGGACGAGGCACCTGCCCGGTAAGCAGAAGGGTGTGGGTTCGATTCCCGCCCCTGGACACTTTTTATTTTTCCGTTCTCCATTACTCTTCATGTTTCACCTTTCCATACCTCATCCTCAAAGTTAGAAATGTCGCTATTTCTCTTTGAAAATAAATTTCGATTTTTAAAAGAAACATTCGCGGTATAATTTTAATTTTCGTTTTACAATCATCAGCCGCGTTATATTGTATTTTAAATGTTACTTTAAATATAAGTTTTGAACGGAAAAATACGTCCAGGGTAGCCGAGTAGACAAGGCACCTGCCCGGTAAGCAGAAGGGTGTGGGTTCGATTCCCGCCCCTGGACACTTTTTATTTTTCCGTTCTCCATTACTCTTCATGTTTCACCTTTCCATACCTCATCCTCAAAGTTAGAAATGTCGCTATTTCTCTTTGAAAATAAATTTCGATTTTTAAAAGAAACATTCGCGGTATAATTTTAATTTTCGTTTTACAATCATCAGCCGCGTTATATTGTATTTTATATGCCTTTTTTATTTTTAATATCAACACCTGACCTTTTTATTTATTTTTCTATTGTTTTTTCATAATATACTATGTTATTTAATTATTATTTAAATATTTATTCATGGATTGCTCTATTTTCAAAAAAATACTATGTTATGTATAAAAATATTAGAACCTATTCAAAATCACTTTATTAGGTACCGCTCAACAAGAGCAACCTAGTTTATGATAATTGAAACAGTAAATAATATATGAAGGTTTTTCACATATTAAACAATTTTTTTACGCGGGATTCAATCCCGGTTCATGACTGTCGGGAATCGAGGGTGTTACCCACTCGTCCACCGACTTCTATAAATATTAGAAGAAATAAATAAAAAGATCAGGTGTTGATATTATATAACAATACGGTACTCTGCCATCTAAAAAGCACATGTTCTCCTTGTCAGGATATGCCTTCTATATTTTCAATATTATTGTATTGTATAAAAAAACATAAATATATATATAAAAATGAATAAAGCTACCGTCAACGATATAAAATGAAATCAAAACATCTAGAATATTTTGGAATATTCTTTTATTTCAAACACGTCGATCCTTTCAATACATTATTTGATATGCTAAAAATTAATAATGGTTGAAAGTAAATGCCATTTGTGATAAATATTATATATATATATATATATATATAATATTTGTAAATATTAGATAATAGGAAGAAAGGAATGTATATACACAGTGGAAATTCTATTGATAATTTTAAGATATATATTTCAATAGCGTTTGTATATAATGACTTTATATCAATAAAAATAATTTAAAATATCCCCCTGTCAGGAATAACACTTTATTAAATATATATTTGGCTCTCTGAATATTTATTATTTTTTCCTTTATATATATATAATAATCTTTTATAGAATCATACATTGTTGTATTTAAAAACAAACGATGTCTATATGTCTATTGAAAGAAATGTGATGTGATTTTATCTTGAAGTATGTATATGGTGTAACACTTGATTTTAGAGCAATATTTTATACCTGAAACCCTCAGATGTCTATTCATACAGCTTCGAAATTGTGATTCAAAATTCCTATATTCCAAGGTTGAGTTTAAATAATTTTCTTTTTCTGAGATGTTATATATATATAATATTATATAAATTCCTATGAAATGTGTGTATAGGCTAGTAAAAATAGTAAAGGTTTTTTAAACATAAAGGCTTCATATTTAACAAAACAAAGTTTATTTTATTTTATTCAAAAAACACAAAGAAATTGTAAACTCTTGTCAAGACTTAGCAAATAGAATATTATGATATCTGTAACACGTGAACATATAAGAAAAATAAGAAAAATATTGGTGTTTATATTATAATTAAAAATGCATACCCCAACCGCTCACGTGAGTATTTTAGATGATGGAGCGCCATCTAGTGGAACAAAAATCAACTAACCGTTGATTCAACTTGTTCCATGATATTTTTGGCCAACCCATTTTCTTGATATATAGAGAAAAGCAAACCTCGAAGGAGTTTCGGGCTGTTCGGTTCTTCAGCGTGGTGCAGGCTGTACTTCACCAACCAAATATTTGGTCAAAGAGGCTTCTAAAAAATTAATAAAAGGTATTCCAGGTCAAATTTGCGTATATGAATTCACGTGTACAGCGTATCTTTGACTCAACTTAAGGACAAAGGTTTTATACATTTTCTAGAAAGCTGGGCCTCAATTAAAGATAAAAAAGCATGAAAGGTAAAATAGACCTCCCTCAAGTACAGATGGAATTTATTCCGGGAGTATATTGATCTAAAAATATATTGGTCACCTCTCCCGTCAAAATAAACGTCAAAGACGTTTCACCTCCTAACTTATATAGTATTTCAAAACCTTTACATAAATCGCTGGCCACAATAGAATAACTCAGATCACACAAACTTTAATATATATATATATATACCTATACAGTTCATCATTTCCTCTTCATCTGCTCAGCTTTCTGATAAAATTGAAATCAAATGGCCACTTTCCTATGAATTAAAGTATTTTAAGAGGGAATTCGTCACTTATAAAATGAGTTCATCGTCAACCACGTTATATTTTTACTTGAGCTTGATTAAATTGTAGCCACGCGATATGGATTTAATGTTTCTATATGGATAATGCACACATCCGCAGAAACACGGGCATCTATTAGTCTGCTAAGAAGCAGCGTGAAGTTATTGTCACCATAATCATATATGCTAAATCCAATCGAATTTTCATTCAGCAAAATTAAAACATTGGTAAGGTCGCTGCTTCCTCGACGTGACATCACGTTAGGCGAGGTTATCACTGATGCAATCAGTAAAATTACATCAGGAGACTGAAGAATGGTTTTCTTGCATTCGAAAAAAATTATTGCTGGCCATACAAGAATCCCAGTTTATCTAATATAATTTCTTTATAATTTATTTCGTAGTTATTTTATCCCATATATATTAGTGTTTTTAATTAATCTTTATGAAACTTTCTTTTGAATTTTACACATTGTAATATTATTTTTGAAGAGAGGCGAGGAACTCATTTTGAAAAGTAACGAATTCACTCTTAAAGGGCTATATAAATCTCAACCTGGAATAAATTAAAAATATACCTAGGAATAAATCACTTGACAATATTAATATATTGGACTTTCACAGTCATTCTAGTTAAAACCATAAACACATTAGTCTCTGACTGACAACACGTGTGGTAAAAGAAATATTTTGAAGGCCCCAGGAACCTAGATTAATTACATAAATTTTGTAATATCATAGTGTATAAATGGCTTTATAAATATATGACAATACTGGGTTGTTTGATATATTTATGCGCATATTTAAACATTTCAAAGGGATTTTATATATATTTTAACTTTTGATTCTAAGTTCTGTAAATTCATGACTGAAAACTAACTAAATAATAAATAAATAAAAATACACATTATAAAACTTTTATTTAAATGCTGTAAAAGAAAACACTTTTTGTTCTATCATTGAACAATTAGATGTATATGAGTGAAAATAAAAGCGGGGGGCGATTATACGTATTTAGAAAGGAGGTAAAATTTAGTAAACACATAGAGAAATTGCTAATAAGTTGCTATATATTAAATAACATTAGGTTCGAAATTTATAGTGATTCGATTTTTTTTCTCAGAAAAAGATTTCTTCTCGTACTAAGATTCGTAGAGTTTTATCCTTCAAGGTTTTGTACACAAATATTTTTTTCATTCTTAAATATATCATCTACGTCATTATAAATACATTAAAAATATATTGATGCGTGTGTAATATGAAATTACACATGACAGAGAAACGGCAAACATGATAGATCTATTATAATTATAATAATAAACTTTGTACTTCAGAATTTGTGTGTGCGGGTGCTCAAATAATAATTAAAATTAGTAGTAATAAAATGAATAGTGTAAATAGTGAACTCTGTTTTTGGAATATAGTTTCAAATGCCTGTTCCAAACGAGACATTTAGAGAGAGGAAGGACAATAATTTGGAATATGATTTATTTGTCAATTAGATTAGATTAGATAAAGTTTGAGGAATTGAAAGAGATATCTACACAAGAACACTACAGTTTACCACACGAGGGTAATAAAACAGTACTGGGCTCTCCAGAAACGGAAACGGCACAAATAAACACGGAAGGAAAGAAAGATAAAACTACTTCTGTAAACATCCCAAGTGTTTACAGTACTCTAAACTTGTTTGAAGGGGCTGTCTTACATCTTTCCATGGCCTACTCTATAAAGTAAGGATCCTGAATAAAAGGGATATCTGACTTTCTATAGTTTAACATATCTTGTTCCTTTAGTATGATCTGCAGAGATTATATTATGAAGTATATATATATATAACAATGATATATATATGATGTATTTCTGAAATGTATGAGATATATCGAAATATGAGCACATCCTTTCTCTCTAAATCTTTATGAATATGTCACAAACAATATACTTTTTAGATATGCATAAAGCTAGCAAATCTGAATAGGAGAATAAGTCAGAACACTAGATTTAACAATTTCGAGCATAATGCTACCTTATCACCATGGTTTAGGTAAAGGTCCCGTGACAGTATTTGAGCATCTTCGATTCGGTAGCAGCCTATCAGATAACACCTATGAGACCAGCCGATATAGCAAAAGACGGTGAGAGTGGTAGGCTATACCTTTGGCAAATATTTATTGAAGATAGTACAAAATGTTCGATGGTAATAGATATCTGAAATAGAGAACATTAAAAGTTGAATATTCATAAACAGAATAGCTGTATAAACTTAAGTAATCAAATTTACATAGAGAACAATGTTTTAGAACAAATGTTCTTCATTAGGACTTATTTCTTCAATAAAGATTTAAAATCCATGAGACGTTTAAATCGAAGAGATATTTCTTATGAACATTCTTTGTGGCAAAATGGGATCAAAACCTATTAAATTGAATGAAAAATGTCAAACTCTTTGAGATATATTAGGATCTTTAGTGGACAAAGATAAGTGCAATTG